AGATTCACTGGTGATGACTGTGATGGATGATCTTGAATAGCAAAGAACATTGAATTTTTATTTTTGGCTGTTGAAGAACCTGAGAAGATTTTTGAAACATCATCTGCTGAGAGTGAGTACAGAACAGCTTCAAGATGCCTCCTTACTTTTCCAAAGAGGATTTCTGCCAGCTTCTCCAAAAGGTGACGGTGTTGGAGCTCAAGATTCATCGTTTGGAAGAGATGAATGCTTTGGAGAACTCAACATGTGTTAAAATGGGTGAGAAGGCTGAGAGGAGAGATCAACATGGAGAGGAGATGGAAGCTGCTTCTGAGAGTAAAGCTGTATGGAACTCTCTTTGTGCCAGACCAAAAAATCTCTCAGGAAGGATTCAGCTCTTAGATGACAACGAATGGCCAGAATTACAGAGAAATGCTTTTTCTCCACCAGCAAGGAGAAGAAAGCAACAGGCTGTAATCAAAACACCTGATAACAGCCAGAGAAATGAAGCAGTGTTTCTTCAAAACAGATTCACACCACTGGAAGAAACTGAGTCTGAACAAAGTTCCCTATCTGATCTCAGTGAGGGACCTGAGACCAGATCCAGATCCAGCTCAAAGCCAAAGCAAGTCCAAAGAGAGTCTTTCAAGAATCAAGAAATGCTGATCATCACAGATAAAATGGTGAATGAGATCAGAGGCTTCTGGAACAAGAAAAAAGTCAAAGTTCTGAGTTTTGCTGATAAAGTGTCTGACCTCACAGAGAAGATTCTGGAAATCTCAGCAGAGTATCCAACTCTGAATACACTCATCATTCATACAGGAAGCGATGAAGTGATGAACCGACAGTCAGAAATCCTGAAGGATTTTATTCAGCTGCTGAATGCAGTTAAAAATCTGAACATGGATGTGTTCCTCAGTGGTCCCGTTCCTACAGCCAGAGGAGGTGCTGAGAGGTTCAGCAGACTGTTGGCTCTTAATGGCTTTTTGGAAAAGTCCTGTGCTGAACACTCTGTGAGTTTTGTGGACAACTTTGATCTCTTCTGGGAAAGAAAACATCTCTTCGTCTGATGGAATGACTCTGAATCAACCTGGAGCACAGATTCTGGCTTCAAACATGAAGTATTTCCTAAACAAAGTTCCGGCTACAGGAAAATCACAACAGCTGACGTCTGAAGGACAGCTGGAGAAAACTGAGATATCAGTGGAACACAGCRTGCCAGTTACTGATAAGGAGACTGCTTCAGAACCAGAACCAGAGAGAGAGGAGTTACTTCAACCTGCAGAACCAGCCTCACAAACAGAGGATCTCTTGGACTCTGAGACCCCAACAGGACAGCAAGTGGAGTGCCCCCTCCTGGATTTTCCTAATAACATGGAAGAACCTGGCGAGATTAAGATCAAACAAACACCATGTCCAAATCCACGTAACCCTCCTCTTCCAGCCCCTTGCACTAAACCAAAATCTACAAAAAGTCAAAGAGCCCCACCACCACCTCTGACCCTTCGACACAACAAAACAGAGAATCCTGTTTGTGTTCAACATGATCCAAAGACTTTTGTGTGATAACTGTGTTTTTGGGTTAGTAATTACTGTGGGAGGAATAAAAACTGAATTACTGGGGTTGGGATTTTAGAAAAGTACATATACTTGGGTTTATGTTGACATGTTTTTTAAAATACGTTAAAGAGTGTTTTTTTGTTTTTTTGATCATTTAATTGGTGCTTTAATGATCAGATGGGGGAGTGTAATAGAACTAATACCTTATGTTTGAGCAAGTAATTCATGACATCCTTTAATGACCTAGGTTTTCATGACATGCTGTTCATCTGCAGATAGAATGATTAAAGTCAGAACAAGAT